AGTTCTAAGGACCTCTCTTCAGGAACTGCTCAGTTCCTTTCTTACTTAATGATCATAATGTCGATACATGGAATCCTGCAAGATTAATAGAGGATGATATTCTCATTATGGATTCAGCAGGCTAGTGTCTATGCGCTCCCCCCTTCATATCTTTCTCTGCTCCCTTCACAATAAATTGAAATTCATGTTCACTTGTATGAAGAGTACAAGATACAAATCTATGCACGTATAGGAGTTTTGGATTTGTATGCTATATGCATACATGATATCACTATGTGTCCAAGCTTTTTCTGAATGCACACTAAAAGCTTAATCATTCAGGGTACAATCTAATCAGAAGAGATGCAAATCAACTTCGACAGTTTCTCAATAATTAACTTGGATCAATTGCTAGAAGCTTTTCTTCTGTTGTTTAACTGTAAGATAACATGTGTAGCTCTTGGTTTTACATGTTGAATGATATATCAATTTTGCTAGCAGATCAATGAAAAAGCAAGCGACGAAGTGTTGGAAGTAGAACAGAAGTACAACGAGATCCGCAAGCCTGTCTACGATAAGCGAAATGATGTCATTAGCTCTATTTCTGACTTCTGGTTGACTGCTGTTAGTGATCCCATCCTATCCTTTTTCCTCGCAATCGCTTGACTTCCAAAGTATTTTTCACACAGTATAACTTATCTCATCTGCTTGCAGTTTTTGAGTCATCCTGTTCTTGGTAACCTTCTCACTGAAGAGGACCAAAAGGTTTGATCCTAATTTGTTTCATTTAAACTTCGAAATAACCCACTACAACTTGTTATGTTACTTTTTCTCCAATATTAACCATCTGCTTAAATTAGCAAAATCTCATCTAAATAAACTGTCAAAGTACAGTTTGAATGGATTCTTTCCTTCTGATCTGAATCTCATAATGTTACTGCCCCTTTTCATGTAGATTTTCAAATTTGTAAGTTCTATTGAAGTGGAAGACTCAAAGGATGTGAAATCGGGTCATTCAATCACGTTTGTGAGTTCACCACTCTCTCTCGCTCTCTCAACAATGAAATTAATTAGTACATTAAACATCTTATGTTTTCTGGGACTGCAGAATGCTGATGACCTTCTCTTCTTTCTCACAGAACTTTAAGCCCAATCCTTATTTTGAAAATTCAAAGCTCTCAAAGACGTATACCTTCCTTGAAGATGGACCTACAAAAATTACAGCTACAACAATAAAATGGAAAGAAGGCATGGTAAGTTCTTTTTGCTGTTTGAGAGACGTTACACATCTTTATCTTATCCGTTTCCTCTCACTATTTATGTTTTGACTTATGAAGGGCATTCCTAATGGAGTTGCTGACAAGAAGAAAGGAAACAAGCGGTCCCACGCTGAAGAAAGGTCTGCTTACTTTTATATAGCATTTCTAAGGGTTTTGATTTTTTAAAGCTACTAGCTGTTTGTATCAAGTCTGTCAACTTGAAACTGATATAATGTTGGGAACTTGGTTTGTCTTACTTGAGAAAATAGACTTGCTCACCACATTAAACCAGGTTATGGTCTCTACCTTAGGAATACGAATTTGTCAATTATCACATTTTCTTAATAAAACTCAACTATAACTGGTGTGATCTTTCAAATAACATATGCCGACCTAATCTTATGTTCTTGTAGCCCTGCAATTGCTTACTTCACTAAGGAGTTAGAAGTCAGCCACCTCTGTTGGGAACAGAAGCGCAAAATATATTGCTCTGTTCGTCCCAAAAAGAAATGATGGGTTCAAAATTTCAGAGTCAAATCATCTATTTCGTTTTGAATTAGGACACCCATTTCTTTAACTTTTGAAATAAAAGTTACATATTCATAAGCTATATAAGAGTATTGCTAATTAACTATATTAATGATTTTTTTGGGCAAAGTGTTTCTCTCGAGAGAAAGCTGTTTATGAGTTTGCAAATAGTAATAGTGTAAATATGGCAAATATAGTGGTTAATGTAGCTGCGTCGAAACTATTTGCACTCACTGAGTTTTTCTGCTGCAACAGTCTGACTATCCTCTTAATCACTTGATAAGTTGGTGCACCGACTGGACACATGCTCACTGCTCTGTCTTCTGTACTCTCAATTCTAGCTGTCTTGTAAATAAAAACTGAATGTCATATTCATGGTCATCCTTGCTCAGTTGCTTTTCCCTTGTTATTCCATACAGTTTCTTTACATGGTTCAGTGAAGTCAATCAAAAAGGTGATGTGGATGATGACGAAAATGAGATTCNTCATACTATGTCCCTTGTTTTCCTTGATCTATTAGTCATGATTTAGTCATGCATTTTTAACTCAATAACATTATACAAAATTTGCTTTACCACAGGAGCCTGATGAAGAAGATATTGAGGGCGATGAGGTAAAGCAACATTCTTGCTAAGTTTTCATAACTTATACCGTGTGCACATCAATTGACATATAAAGTCGTACTTATTCATCTGTGGCTCTAATATGTCCTCCTTTTGGGCTTACATTTATTTCTTTCCTTGGCCACAATGGTATGAGGTTGAAGGAGGACTACGGCAAAAGTTTCTAAGTGGGGCTCGACTAATAGGATTTACTAAAATCATAAGGGCTGCAACTATTTATGATAAAGCCTTTAAAACATAGAGCTACTGCCAAACCTCTAAAATAACTTTCTGCAAGCAATATAGTTTTTTATGGTGCTTCTGATTTTTAGAAATTTATATTTTCATCTTTGCTTTCGTGGAAACTATTTGCTGCTTAAATTGTGGGGTCAAATCAGAACTTTGTCTAAGACGTGAAGACATGTGAGGGAGAGAAGGGAAGGGTCTGTTGAAGGAAGTCTTTGATCAAAGTCTCAAAGATGCAATCTAGAAGCATCATAAAGAGAGTAGGATTCTTCTGCACTTGTAAATATTTTTGTTCCAACCCCATCCTGGTGCTATTAATTAAATGAAAATACCAACTTTGTAAAAAACAAATGCATCAGATAGAAAACTGTGAAACCGTAACTTTTGGTTTTACCTGCCGGGAGGGTATTGGTTGGGGACTCTTCCATTCATAAGATCAAAGTGTCTTCTGGTCTGAATATATCTTTGTTTTTCAGAACAAGAAAGTATCTATTCTGACAAAGTATTTGTTCCTTCTCTTCCTTTCCCCCTTGGGCCGAGGAAGAGAAGGTCACCTGTTGGAAGCTTACACTGTTTGTTTAGGATGAGAGATGGAGCAGGTTTGTGAATGTTCTTTCCCTTTTCCTAGCCGAAAGGAGGTAAAAGTGGAGCATATATAATTCCTCCAAGAGTTGGCATTTTCACTCCAGGAAAGAGGAAAGACTTCTTTTGTTTTAAACTTTGATTCCCAATTCTACCGATGAACATGAGGGGGAAGATACGCAATTATGTGCTAGTCCCCCTCTCTCTTACCTTTTCTCTGCAGTTTCTTAAAACATTGTGTTGCATGGTGGAAGCTTGACAAGGGTCTAAAAGAGCATTGGCTTCCTTTTTAAGTCAAAAACACCCATTTTTGATTTTTTTAGGGGTGGTGGTGGTGGTGGTGGTTAGGCAATGACCGCTGACCATATATTAATACTCAGTACGAAAATACATGAAGAAGGGGGGAATATAATGCCTAACCTTCACAAAACAACTACGGGGACTAGACACGCCTAATCCTGTACAAAAGGTGACAGCATTATCAATATGAGTTGGAATTGTGTCAAAAAAAGAAACTTCAGATTTCGCATGAGAAGATTCCTCGCTTTTACATCATGATGCTTAGTAATCTGTAAGCTTACAAAAGATACACAAAAGTTTCATGTACATCATGTTAAACAAAGTCATTTTTATCTTTCTAACTCCGCATGATGATATCAGTGATCTGACTTCTCCCGGCAGCTTGGAAAGTTAATGATACCAAATTACTTGATACTTTGACTTAGCTTGGCTTGGCATATAGTCTGGATGAATGTATCATTCGGATAGTAAACCTTGATTAGTTAGTGGATATTTAGTAACAGTCATAAAGTTCTTCTGTTATATATATATATATTAATTATATTTGGTGAAAACAAATTGTGAATATGGTGCCAGGGGATCTTGTTGCTGGGAGCTGCCAGTGATTTTAGCATAAAACCACATACCATTTTATGTGTGTCGGCAGCTTATTGAAGATTGTTCTTTTTTATATCTTGGGTAATGAATTGGTTGATTTGATATGAATTGCCAGGGAAAGGACAGCGGAGGCTCTGAAGAGGAAGAAGAAGAGGAAGATGATGAAGATGAAGAAGACGAATGAACTGTTGGTAGACCTTGTGTTTGATTTGAGTTCTCATCAGTGTTTCAATCATCAGAGTTGGTCTCTGTAAAGAGGTTTCGGATATTGCAGAAAAATTGAATGACATATAGTGGTGACTCTAATTTTTAGTTTCAGTGAACTTTTTCTTTCATTTCTCCTTTAACCTTTTCTTTTTAATTTTGTAAGTACTTATTTTTTACTTCATATTTCCCATGCAAAAAAGAAATGAAAAGAAGAGGTTAGATAGGGGAAGCTATTTTGGGCAAAGTTTAGGATTATACTTATTGAGGTAACAATATAGCATATTTAATTGAGATATCCACCATATTTCAAATCCATAGCAGGTAGAAACACTCTGTATTGTTGTGAAGATGACAACCTAACACTGTTAGTAGTACCTTGCAATAATTTTTATATTAGGGTGTCTGCATATAATTTGAAGTGATCTTTGGCACTTGATAATATCAACATAACATCATCTACCATAGTAAGATCGGAGACATGATAATAATTTATCCGCATCTAGTATTACAAATGTAAGTAATACCTATTTTCTCATTACTATTATCGTTGATCTCTCTAAGATTTTAGTCATACAGCAAATTAATACTATATTTACTGTGATATTTTCACTTTAGTACTAGTCACACGTGCTGATGAGAGTGCGATTACCTGATAAGCCAGAGACTCTTATAATATGGAATTATTTTGGTAAGGTACTGTGAGTCCTGACAATGAACAAATTGGAGTGTGGGGTCGGCTGAAGTAATTAATCGTATTAACTAATATCCAATGGCATGCATAAGAACAGAATAGAAAAGAAAGATCTAAAATCTTATCAATAATTTATTTGGGAACATAGGTAAGAAAATTGACCAAAAGACAGTGTATGGAGATTCCAAAATCCTACAAGTGAAAGCAGTAGTGTTGTAACCAAAACAATTTTTTTTTGGTAAGAGAGAAATCCGCAGCCGCTACAATCTTTGCCACAGCCTCTGACTTTGTGCGCCCTGGGTAAACCTCCCTTTGTGTAATAGCCTGCAAACTACACAGATGATGTAAACCGCACTAGGCAGGCCCTGTGCGACAGATTCAACCCTAGAAGGCATTGAGGGGGGAATCGATCCTAGGTCATCCGTATGAATAACCGCCCTCCAAACCAACTGGGTAATCCCGAAGGGTTTAACCAAAACAAGTTGACACTGAGAATGGCTATGAAAAATATACCCACTGTTGATTTGATTCCATTCTTCAGACAAGGAAGTGAAGATGAAAGGTTAAAAGTTGTAGACTCCATTACTAAAGCCTGTGTTGAGTATGGCTTCTTTCAAATTGTGAATCATGGGGTACCCTTTGATCTGACCAGTGAAGCTCTGAAGCTGGCAAAAGCTTTCTTTGAGTCTCCAAATGAATTAGCTAAACTCAAATGCTGTCCACTGCCTAATGCACCTGTTCCCGCAGGCTATAACAAGAAGCCTAATCCTTCTTATGAGTTCAATGAATTCCTCATCATGCTTCCACCTGGTTCCCATTTTAACATCTTCCCTCCCAATCCTCCTCAATTTCGGTATGACATTTTTAACCTAGAGTTGATTCAATGTTTTCAACTCCGAACTATTTCTACATATGAATTTTCTTTTAAAAATGTGTACATATAATAAAATCATACTCATTGACTTTAGATACTAAATTAGTCTCTTTGTTTAAGGGTGTGTAGCTCAAGGTGCAATCTTAGATGGGAAAAGCACTCTCTCCCAATTTGACTTGGCATGAATCATATTTCCTAGAACATAACTTTATTGGGGGAGGGGGTTGGAATTGAAACGAGTGCCTTCTATCTGGTCGCCTCAAAGAGAAAACTCCATCATCTGAGAAGATCCAAGAACCTTTTCTTGCTTTTGTTTAAATTTAATGGTGTTAATCAGAAAATACCATATGTCTCCAATGATGGTTATTGCTCTTTCCTTACTTATTTTAGCCTTTTCTTGTTTAACCTGTGGATAAAAAGGCCAACTCCAACTCCAGGCTTCTCTTCTTGATGTTTAGTCAATGATATTCTTTACGTTTTCTACTAGTTGGATCTAGACTGTTATGGTAATGCATGCGATCAATCTCAGCTCCATGTTCAAGAATTGAGAGCTTTGTCAAATTGGATAAATTTTTAATATTGTTTAAGCATCTCTAATCAGATAGTTTGGCTATACAATTTCATGTCATTTATCCTACATATCTAAAGCTTCTTTACCCAGATGGAAGACAATACATTTGATCTTAATAAATACATATCCAGTTGATGCAGTTAGCCCTTTAATTGCCCTGCAGAAGGGGCTGCTGGGGCCTTGGGAAATAACTTTTGGTGTTACCTTTCTTGGACTAGATTTGCTAGTGGAAAACTTTAGCTATTACGATAATGAATTCCTTTCACATTTCAGAGAGGTGATGGAAGAGTTATTCTGCCAATTCTTGAAGATAGGGATAGTTGTTGAGAGCATCCTGAGCGAGTGCCTGGGGCTTCCTCCCTCCGCGATGACAGAAACTGGGATTTCCTCATTGCTTTATTTTACTTGCCAGCAACAGAGACAGAAAGGATAGGGACAAATTCACATAAAGATGTCAGTTGCTTCACAATTGTGTTACATGATGAAGTTGAAGGCCTCGAGGTTCAAAAGGATGGCGAATGGATCCTAATACCCCCACAACCAGGTGCCCTTGTTGTCAATATTGGCGATGCTCTTCAGGTAAATCTCTCAAAGTGCAGTCAGTTAGAGAGTTGATTATTAGCTAGTTGGTAGAGTTGTAATTACCTTATATTTTACTGGTCCTTTCGAACGACAAATTCAAAAGCCCAAGTCATAGGGTGGTGCTAAGACCTAATGGAAGATCAAGGAATTCATTTGCATTCTTCTACAGTTTGTCAGGAGAAAAGTGGATTGAACCACTTCCCCAGTTTACAAAGGAGATTGCAGAAAGACCAAAATACAGACCCTTCTTGTACAAAGAGTATCTACAGATAAGAAAACAAAACAAGTCTAAGCATGTCTCCAGGCTTGAAGATGAGATTACCATATCACATTATGCAATCCCTGAGGAGTAATGTTAGACAAAATAAAAAAGGTAATGGCTTGTAATTTGTAAGACATATATATGCTCATGATCTCGGCCTTTTCACAATATCTGATACAGACTTCTATATACTTAATTATATACATGTGGATCGGAGAAGAGGTTGATGAGATAATATATGGTATCAGTGAGTAGAACTTTCATAATCCATATTATGATTTCATCTAAGAATGCTCCAAAGAATGATGTGCTGCATTGCGTTCCCTGTTAAAAACCAATTAGCTTCGTTTCATCTACTTTGTTCTATCACATTCATCAATCTTTTCTGCTTAGTTTGTCTCCCCTGATTAATCTTGGAAACTCTTTTCCTAATTTGGGGGAAAGAAAAAAGGTACTACTTCTTTATGTGAACCTATTTTCTTTTTGGTTTGTTCCAAAAAGAATGTTCCCTTTCTAATTTTGGTAATAATTTAGCTTAAACTTACAATTGTACTCTTAATGAGAAACTTTTATAACCACACAAATACTCTGGGCCCATTTTTGACTTGTTTAGGATCACAAATTCCAAAAGTTTTTATTTTTTCTTAAACTCCGTGCCCAGTCAAACATGTTCACATAAATCGGAATAGAGGTAGTACTTAATATGCTTATGTGATCTTTTCTGGATTACTTTTTGTCCATAACATGCAGTTTAGTCGTAGGAGGAGTTTTTGATTAAATTTAAATTTAATTGGATAAGTTTGTTGAGATAGTTTAAGTTTTTTAATTTGAATATTTATCCTGCAGATTTTCTGCAAATTATATTTTTAAGTTGGCTATTTAAAGGCCTCTTGGTTAATAAAATTTATGAGAGACACTTTCAACAAATATTTTTAATCTTCTTGTTGCTCCATATTTAAAAAAAAAATAAATTAACAAGGATATCATACGAACTCGAAATATACAAGAAGGATATCATACAAACTCGAAATATTCTTGGTGGAGCACTATTTTCTTTTTACTACAGCATAGCACTCAGTGACGAACCAAGAATTTTACACAAGCGGGTTCAATTTAAAATAACGCAAATCGATAGTATAAGCAGCATCGAACATGGCGAACAAAATTTGGTCGAATTTTTGTTAATTCTTTTCCTTTTTGGTCTCCTTTGTTTATAGCGTGATGTTAAAATCAAGTCATTTAAAAGTGAGTGCACTATATTTTACAAATTTTGGCATTTTAATAGTACATAAACTATTTCCTCCTAATTATTTGAATAATTTATCTTTTTTTAACCAAATACTCTTATCTATTTAATTTAACAAATTTTAATGTTTCAAAATTTTGTTAAAATTTAACAAGAAAATTATTTAACCAATAATTTTTTTTATTAACTGCAAGAAATTAGACAGATTATTAAATCCTTTTGTGTTTATAACTAAGAAGGTATTATCTACAAATAGAGGATAATAAAAAATAATTACAATATCAACTGGATTAATACCTAATTAAAGAAAGAGGGCTAATACATTAAACCAGAAATTATAAAAAAAATAAAAAATTTCAACATAAACTAACAAATTATAAATAATTTCATTAGATATACTTGCATAATTTAGCAAAATTTATGAAATAGAGAATTAAAGATCACTTTGTAGAAAGGTTTAATTTTTTGAAGTAAAATAAAGTTGATTTCTATTGAATTAAGTTAAAAATATGAAGTAAAATAGAGAAAAGAAGAAGTAGAAGACAATGGAATAATAATTTTACAAGGTAAATGGTGGTTACTCATTGCACATTCTCTGTAGCAATAAAAATAGAAAAGAAAAAATTACAAAAATCAATAAAAGGGAAAAGGGGACTCGAACACATGAACTCATGTCTAGTCCGGGTCGTGCTTCCCTTGCGGGGCCAGGTTGGGGACATGATTTTTTGGATGGTAACTCTGTTCGACATAAATTCTATGGGTTACTCGGGCTATGCTGGGTTGTGCTGACAATTTTTAATGTATCACTAGCCATTTATGGGTTACCGGGCTGGGCAGACAAGAACAATAAGCTAATGTAAACACCATTTTCACAAACTAAATTAGTAAACTATCCATTTGGGTTATGGGTCAAATCGAGTGTAAAAAGAAAATGGGTCTAAAGTGTACTATGCTTCATTCTAAATTGACGTGACATGTAGTTTTAGATTTTTAATTAACTTTGATGCCATGTCAGATTTCTTGTATAGAAGAATTTTGTAGGGTTTGAGCCCAAATAACTTTTTTAAATGATAAACGGTAAAATTTAGTGACTTAAGTGATAAAAAATAAGTAAATGGCTTTTGTAAAATTGCGTTAGTTGAATGACCTTCAATGAATTAACCTTGATTTGAGTGATTAGTTGCATTTTCAGTTAATCACGAGGTATCTCTATTGTACTTTCATCCATAGAGAGAAAGTGTGCCTTTTTTTTCCTCTACCTTCTCTCTAGCAAATAGAGAGAAACTTCCGATGTGAACAACAACAAGAACCCAAATCAATCACCACCATATGATCGGCGAGACAACATTGATGGACACGACACAATCATCATCACTAATAACTGAAGAAGCAGATCTGCTCCAACGTAGTACACAAAAGCCAAAAATGGAAGGAAGAAAATTTGACCCTAAGGTAAGCTTCAAAGACAGAGTAATTGAAAATCAAATTTTTGAGTCCATGGAGTTTGACTGTGACACGTTTACTAATCTGTCACTTGAAGATGAGAATGATAACCCAATAAATCACCCAAATTTTATACCCATCTCCTCGGCCGAAAAATAAAGACTTTACAAACCTTGGACCCAAGCACTAATTATCAAACTCATAGGTAAATGAATGGGTTACACCCTTCTACGTACAAAAATATAAAAACTTTGGAACACAACAGAGCCCCTAAGTCTCATAGACATTGGAAGTGATTTTTACCTTATAATATTCTCATCGGAAAACCTGTACACCACAGTCCTGAATAATGGACCATGGTTCATTGGATCCCAGTTTCTCTCAATTAGTAAATGGACACCAAAATTTAATCCCAACAATGTCCAAATTACCTTTTCTACCATATGGGTGCGCCTACAAGAATTACCTATAGAATACTATGATCTAAATATACTTTAGAAAATTGGAGGCACAATCGGTATGGTTCTCAAAATCGACAGTTGTACGACACACACAACACGGGGAAGATATGCCAGACTCTATATTTTAGCACCACTGGGCAAGCCTTTACCTATAAATATTATGATTGGCAAGCATCTACAGGAAGTACACTATGAGGACAAAACTCACTTTGCACAACTTGCGGATGCTTAGGCCACAATTACTATCAATGTTTACAAAGTAGGTCTGCCCAACATACGGAGCATAAAATATTAGAAGAGCAATCAACTCAAGGTCAGTGAAAAACAGTCACATACAAAAGCAAGAGGTACGCTACTAACAAAGACTCAAAGTTAGATGTAGATGGAAAACAGAGAGAAAAGGGGAAAACACCTACTGAAAATTTCTAAGAAAATGGAAAAGGAAAAGAAAAAGAAAAAGAAAAGGAAAAAAAGGAAAAAAAAGGAAATTAGAATAGAGGAAGAAAAAGAAGAAAAAAAAAGAAAAAAGAGAGACAATAATTACATAAGTGATGTTACTACTCATACCAACATTACGTTGGGAACAAGAAATGGGATTGACTTTGGCCCCAAGAAAGAGGTAACTGAAAATAATCCTTCAAATATCAAAGAGACATTTACAGTTATACAAGAAAACTGATTTTCCATCTTAAACGACAACGGATGAGAACTTCAAAATAAAAATCCAAAAAATAATTCAACCCAGTCCAAAACATCACTAAATTTATCAGCTACGCATACAAAATTCCGGTTCACATCAAATGACTCCATAGTACCCACGGAATAAAAGCTTCCTAAGATCAGAACTATAAATAGAAAATACCTGAACACACAAAAACTACAAAAACTACCTTTTTACAGACCCCACACAACATCAACCCCAAAGAACAGGGCCCATAACTTCATCCGACCGATCTGTTTCCTCTTTTGCCCAATACATACAAAATCACTCACATCACATTTAATTCACTGACCACTACTACCCTTCCGTGTACCCCTACACATGCCAATACCACTCATTCCTCCTCTATCACCCCTAATCCAACCCTATGGCACAAAAACCAGACCTCCCGTCATGCCCCCATTATAACCCCTCTAAACAACTACCCATCTGAAACGTCTCCTACACCCAACCAACTATCTCACTCCCCATAAATTACCACCACAACTAGAAATGCGGAGACACTACAAAAACTACCGCCAGAATTAGCAGCACGACTGCTATCAAAACCACTATTACGAACGCCACCACGGGGAAGACGACTACCAACCCCAACCACAAATAACAAACTACTACTTCCAAGCGATGATTATCCCGGTCCCAATAGTCATCAACCACCAAATCTACTACAACCAGATGAGCAATTACATGTACGGGCTAATGAATCAGCAGTGGGCTACACTCCACCATCTTCCACAAGATCCAACCAATCACCATACACATGCAAACCAGGAACCGATGACTCCCACCCAACAACAGGCGGCCCTGATCTTGGAGACAACATAAGAACTAATACAAATGATAGGCTATAATTACATATTTTAGTCTCTTATTACACTCTAATTTACTGTACTTTAATTGAGTTTAAGCTTTAATCGCTAGTATTTTGTACTAATTATGTGTTTTATGCCTTGTAGGAGTAATTTCGAGCTATGTAGATGTTATGGAATGAATTAAAGTTATTTGGAGTTTTGAAGTCTGAGTAAAAGCCCAAGAAATTAACCCGGGATCGTGTTCGGGGATCAACGGATGATAGTTAAGAACGAACGAAGAATCAAGTAGGTATATTGCGCACTGTCTAGTAAAATGCACATAACCTTTCTCTCAGAACTCCATTGTAGCTCCACAATATATGGTTAGAAAGCTAATTCAAAGGGATACAACTTTCATGTTTTATGTTTTTTCAAATTCTAAACAGAACAGGGTGAAAAATGCGGTCTAATCCGTGGTTGCGGATGTGAGGCAGAACACTGGGTAAAATCTGCGATTGAATCCGCGGCCGCGGACGTCCTGACCTGAAAAAGTGTCCTTTTTCGTGTAGGAGAAGGTATAATTATTTGGGCCCGACCCTACTTGGT